TTTTTTTTTTTTTTTTTTGCCAATTCTTTTCTTTTCCCTCATTGTATGTTTCGTGTAATACGTTCAACACATTGGCGTTGTACACACGTAAACAAGTGCATACGTACGGATGTGCTGTCCCTTTGAAGACTGTATCTCCGTTTCTATGACTTTTCTGTGAGCTCCTACGCAGAGATCGAGGAGGTATATATCCTGAAAAGTGTAAATGCAATTGTCTGTTTATAGCATTCCCGCGCTTATACCTACGCCTACATATTTGCACATACGTATACATCATTTATTCATCTTTTAGAACAATTACACCAAGAGATGTGATTTGTTTTTTTTCCCCTTTCTCCTGTTATTTTATATATATATATTTTTTTTTGGTTTCATTTTTTCCCCTTCTCTTTTAAAGCGCAATTGTCCATTTGAACGCACAAAAAGGGAAAGAGGAGGAGTTAACCAGGAAGAGATTCGTTCTTGCTAAGTGCGTTGCTAAGCAGACGTGTAGGTTGCAGTGGTAAGTGAGTACATGCACACACGTGGCTCTCTCTCCCCACGCGCGCTGCTCACAACGCACAACACGCAATAATACGAAGGGATACGCGAAAAAGAGCAGTGCCCATTAATAGCTATTTTTTAAAGAAATAGAAAAAGGAATAAAACTTCGCCAGTTGGATGTAGCGAAGGTAACACCATTACGCAACGAATTAAAAAAAAAAAAAAAAAAAACACAATATATTTATTGAATAGAGGAAGTTGGAGCCATTCAGAGGGAGAAAGAACAACAAAATAGTTAATCGAAATATCTACCGAAACAACGTCGTCTTTAAAATCATTTCAAGTTTGTTGCGCAGCGAATATTTTTTTTTTTTTTTACTGAAAAGAGCTAGGTATACCATTTTAAAGGGGTATTAGCGGTTCGGCCAAATAAAACTTTTATTTGGTACTCTGACTGTATACCTTCTCTCTTGCCTGCTCTTGGAGGCTTCATTTTTTTTTTGGCAGCTTTTCCCCTGACCTGGTGATACAAACGCGTACACCAGGTGTATATTTAATAGCAGGGGGTGGAGAATACACAAGGATTCATACACAAGTGTGTTTACGTGTACACACGTGGTTATCCGTTCTCCCCTCCACCACTATCCCCTTTTTCTGTCCCCTTATTTAAAAATACGTTAACATCCAGTGTGATGCTGGAAATGGAGGGAAGGCACAATCCCAACGATGCAGAAATAGACTCCATTGCATCTCCATTCACTGAAAGCAACAAAGGACTATATTACGGTGAAGGTGTTAGTAACAATATGAACAGTGTGAGGGGGAATACAAGAGGTGGCTTGAGAGGGAATGTGAGGGGCAGCGCAAGGGGAAGTGTAAGGGGCAGCGTCAGAGGAAACGCTAGAGGAAACGCGAGAGGAAATGCCAGGAATAGTCAAATGAATATGTACAAGGATATGAACGAAGGGAACAGCGATTACGACCGAGCAACAAGTATCCATAGCCCTGATCCATTTAGTAATTCAACTTACCAATCAAATAACATTAGTGGTGCAAACGCCATCACTGCACCCACTAGTATTTCAAACGATGCAGGTAGCGCTGCTAATCATATGATGGGTTCTATAAAGAATCCCCTCTACAGTAATGCTAATGGCAGTGGAGGTGGTCCAGACGGCAATGGTCTCCCCACTGACAAGTCAAGTAACTTCTCCCAATATAACGACGGCTTTCTCGACCACACGGAGATTAGCCACATGAAGGGCAAAAATTTTGCCAAACGAGTTGGAAAAAATTTAAACCTCAATGGTATAAACGTAGGAAAAGGGAACATCAACAGTGTGGGCAGTGGTGGAGGTAGCCAAAATCATTTTGGTGTTAATAAAAACGCAAAGGGGTTTAAAAATCGATTCAATCATTTTAGCAAAAATGCCGTGAAGCCCGGTTTGGCTAAGCAAGACGTTGGGTGGGACCATATGGGCAATGCTGCTCTGCTTGGCGGAGATGAGAGAGAAGGAGAGATGGACATAGACAGCAACGAGGGTCAGCAGGAAGGCTTCTCCCCTTATAACCCACGCAGTGAGTTTTACCACCCAAATGACTCGGTGAATCGTGTGGGGGGCGCTGGCGATGTGGACTCTAGCGATCCATTCAGGGAAGGTAACAACATACCTTTAGGCATACCCAACGATGCAGAAGTGAATAATGTGAGCAACCAACACATGGCGATGGATAAGGCACACCCGAGTAACAACATACACATGGTGAGGAATGACAAAAATAATGCCACCATGAATTATACTAATGTTGGGAAAAAAAGAAAAAATATGAAATTTGATAATAACACGCTTCAAAAAAATAAGCAAAAAAAAAATTATTATAAGTCCTTTAACGATTCTTTAAAGAGGTATAGCAATAACTCGCTCAAAATTGTCAACACGAATGTAAATGAGGGAGGCAATTCCTCTTTTTACGGCAATGGGGAGGGTGAAAATGCGCTAATGGATATGAATTTGGGTGTGAATACACTTGGCGGTCAGGTGCAGGCACATGGGAATGACAGCGCTGTAGTGGACGCCGCAAATAAAAGCAACAATGCAACGAATAGCGGCGCACTGAACACCGGTTCACCGAGCGCCGCCGCCAGGGGAACAAAGATGGCCGGCCGAAACAGCCACGTCAGTAACTTCTACCCCAGCATGAAGAAGAAACCGTTTAACAACATGACCTTCTCGCTTAACAAATATCTCAACTCATATGTCAACTTTGACCGAATTAAAAATAAAAAAATTAAGAATGAAAAAGTGATAAAGAAAGGAAGTGGCGTGCGTGCAGCGGCGATGGGCGGTAGGAATGATGCGGATATGGGTCATAGCACCTTGGTGAACGCAGAACAAAATTTTGATGATCACAACGCCGCAGACCAGAATGGTGATGAATCTGCTGGTAGTTACAGACATGGGTCGAGCGAATTTGCCCAGGTGGGAAACCCTAGCGGAGGGAACCTCTCCCAGTTGAGTAACGTCGCCAAGAGTCTTAACCTGGAGTTACTAAAAAATTTGAGAGACAGCCTTCAAAATGAAATGAGGGGGGGTGGAGGCAATAAGGATGGCTCGAAGGTGAGGACCAGCTATCCTAGCTACATCGAGTGCCTCAGTGATGTGTCTGAAATTAGTGATGAAGAGCAGGGAGGGGATGCAAGCGATAAGGGGAAGGATAAAAATGCGTTCCCCAAGTGGACTAACAACATGGGTGCAGGGGTAACGGCAGCAGGGATGGGTGGTGAGGCCAACGGGACCTCTTTTCCCCCCGCTGCTAGCGCAGGGGGCGTGACACTTGCGTATGGCACCAACCAGGCACCTTACGGCAAGACGGATCTAATGCAGAATTTGTATGGTCTCTACAAAAGTGATAGGGGGGTTAATGCAAATTCGAATGTGAAGGAAGAAATTAGTGCTGAACAATCATCAGGAGGAAAGCCTTTCCAAGGAGGAGTTGAATCAAACAACAATTATCACCACTACCCAGATAACCATTCTGCGCAAGACAAGGAGGAAAGTAGAGCAGGCAAAAAAGGGGCCTCGTTTGCAAGCCCAAATAATAACGTCGATATGGACCAATTGGGGGAAGAAGAAAACGAAGAAGAGGAAGAGGAGCAAGACGAAACGGAACCGTACGAACAAATGAGAAACGAAGATTTGTTTATTAATTCCTATATGCCCTACCCCCCAGAAAAATACAGTAGTATGTACGAATTGCACGAAATAAAAATATTATCCCCTCATATATTGAAAACGAAATTTCACAAGGAAGGAAAAGGCACTTATCATTCGTCCCTAAAGGAGGGGAAACTAATTCTACTTCTCGACCTGGATAACACATTACTACAGGCCACATCATTTGCAAAATTTAATATGGAATTGCCTTTGGAAAATTTTGTTGATGAAAATGGAGAACCCGAGTTATATAAATTTTTCCTACCCTATTATAACTTTTTCTATTACTTAAAATTTAGACCCTATGTACGTCAGTTTTTACAAATTCTATCTTTATATTATGAACTGTCCATTTATACCAATGCGACTAGAGAGTATGCAGATGTGGTTATTGCCATTTTGGATCCTGATAGAACCCTTTTTGCTGATAGAATTGTTGCTAGATGTAATTCTGCTGATAGGGAAGAAAATAAATATTTTTCCAAAATATATCCTAATGTGGACTCCAAGTATGTTATTGCTTTTGATGATCGAAAAGACGTTTGGACCGACATTCCTCATTCACATATTTTAAAAGCAGAACATTATAATTTTTTTGACCTAAGTAAATATGATATAATTTCTCATTTTAAAGAACCCAGTACATGTAAGAAAAGGTTCGTTGACATGGACATGCATCTCCATTTCATGACCAAAGTTCTGCTCAAATTACACAAACTTTTTTTCGAGCGACCATTGGAAGTAAATGTCGGAAGACTCATTGACGAAATTATGTTCAGCACATTAAGTAATGTGGGTGTATATTTTACAGGCTTTAGAAAAAACTCCAAAAATTCTCAACATGTCCTTTCATCAGATTGTGAAGATAGGCAAAAAGAAATAGCTTTAGAATTGGGCGCAAAAATTTATAATAATTATGACCTGCCTGGAGTTACACATATTATTGCTGCAAAAAATTGTACTGATAATTTAATCAAATCGAAAAATGCTAATTATAATCATATACAAAAGGTGCATACCTTGTGGCTTTACCATTGTAGAGGTACACTGCAAAGTGGGGACTGCTCCTACTTTGATGCAGATGAGCTGTGCAAAATTTACAATAACAAACCACCCCTGCACCCTAAAAAGGATCACTGGTTTTTTGGTAATAAGGAAGAAATGAGGAAGCAAGATGATACTAGTGAATGCGTAAAAATAGAAAATCTTAAATCGAGAATTTTCTTGGGTACAGGTGAATACACCAACGACGCAGTTATATGCTCGCCACTCGAACAGATCAACATTAAGTGGATTGAAAAGGAAGTCAAGTTAAGGCAAATTTATGACACCCCCGGCGCTGCTACTTCTCCTTCTTCCCCTGGTGGGGCGGCAGGCGACGGACTGCAGCGTGATGAAGCCACAATGCGCGAGAGGAACCCACACACGGAAATGAGCCCCCTTGGCGAACACATGGACGAGGATGACAATTTTACCTATGAGAATGACAACGGGGAGGAGGAGGAGGACGAGGACGAAGAGTCGGAGGACGGGCAGCAAGGGCAGCAAGCGGAGGGCACCGGAATGGGCAGCGCAACCAGCTAGATCTGCATCCTCAGTAGGGATAAATCGCCCATGTGTCCCGTTCCCTTCCTTCACCAAGGTATTTTTTTTTATTATTTTTTGTTGTCGTTGTATCACCTTTTCTCGATGCACTTCCAAATGAATATATTTTCCTTGTGACGTTATTTTTTTTTTGGTTGTCTTACGAGTTGTATGCATCACACATGTGCGCCGCTTCCATGTTGACATTCCATATTTCCTCTTTTGCTCCTTTTTTTTTTTTTTCTCACTTTTCCGACTGGGTGGTTCGCATCAAAATGATGTGCCTCCTCACAGTGGCGGCCGCTACTTTTCTAACACTTTGAAACTACGCACATTTGTTCATTTGATTATGAAAATAAACATATACATGTAAGCGTTTTCTCCTACACAGCGTCATCGCAGGGGTAGCCTATTGAATGCTCCCGTACATAGCTGCACATTGTGTAGATACGCATTTAACCATGGCTCCCCTTCATGAGTGCGGCGAGGTCCCCACCTATCATAACGATGCCTCCTCCCAAAGGGGGAAAAAAAATATATCACACGGTCCTAAACTACAATACACACACACACACACACATGCAGAAAGTAAAATAGCAGTTCCGTAAATCAAAAATGGCTATCCTTAATGGAAAACCCCGATTGATAACTCACCACTGGTCTTTTTTTTAAAAAAAAAAAAAAAAAAAAAGGATATCCATGGACACAATCACAAGGTCAACGAGACCTAATTATGCTTCTATCCCTAGTGGAGAAAACACTTTTTTTAAAATGGAAAACTTGCAATAAAGGGGGATTAATTTCCCATTGTCACTTTCCCCTGCGCAGGAGAGAGACAATTCGGCCGAGTTGTACACACACACACGTGGAGGAATAAACGAGAAGGCAATTCTACAAACATTTTAAAATCATTTGTGAGAGGAATAATTTCCGTTTACAAAAATTGCCAGTCGATTGTAGGGGCGGTGGGGGAGAGCATGGCAAGGTTTCCCTCCATAAGGAAAAACGCGTACACAAACCAACAAAAAGGCTGCTGTGACCCCAACATAGTGTAAAAAAGGAGTACCCCCCCAGCCAGGGTTAACCACTTCAGGTGAATGATATATCTCCACAAGGACGAACATATACAAATGAACAAGCATACACGCAAGTGACAAAAGAGAAGTGGCGCGCGTCTTCTGTTCAAATCCCATTTGATGATAAGGTCATCGGAGTGAATACATCGAGGAAATCACAAAATGAGCGGACCAGACAAACAATACATCACCGTGTACTACTGCAGAAATGGCGGAACGACCCAAAGAAGGGACAGAAAGAAAATGCCAGAAATGAACAAGGGGTACGTGACGATAGAAATAACTAGGATGAACCAGAGGATACACCCTTATAGGAGGGCAGGAAGTCAGTTTATGTTTCCAAAGGGGAATTCGCAAGGTGGTAAGCGGAGGGGCATTGACCATGTTAGGCATTGCGGCATTGACCAAGTTAAGCATAGCGGAAGGGATTTCCTGACCAACTGCATAAACGCCTCTTTAAATGAAAACGCAAAGGGGAGCTGGACGAAAATATTACTCGACTTGGTGAACGATACAAAAAAAAGAATCAACGAAAAAATTAACTCTTTCCTTAAAGTGTTCGTTTTAAGTGCAGATTATTATTTGCCCAATGAGCTGCAGATAAATGACGACGCGGTGACGATGATGATAGGTGGGGGACCAACTGGATCCATGACCTACTTCAACGCAGAGCGCGCCAAAATGCTACTCGAGTCTGCATCTGTGTATGATAAAAAATGCACCACTAAGGGGATTACGACCCAGGCGAAGTTCCCTCCTTCAACATGTCCACGAATAAATGGAGACACCTTCCGACACGCCAATTATAACATAGTTCATAACAATGCCGGGTTAAGGAACAACTACTATGCTCAGAACATGACAAACCTTAATAGCTTCAACAAATCATTTTTTAACAGCGCCTTATGGGGTCAATCGGGCTTTTTTCCCATGCACAACTCGGGCAATGATTCGTACTTACCGCAAAATTGGGGAACCTCCTACTTGCACACACACTCTGCTCCTTCGAAAAAACCAAATGTAAGAAACTTTTACATTTCTGTAGTTAACAAAAAAACTAATGTGAAGGAGGTGAGGAAGATTAGCCTCATGGAAATTTGTAGCTCGCCCTACTTGTTCCTGTGCCAAGGTTTTCTCTCAGACTTGGAGAGCTACTTGGCTCTGAATCACTGTCTTTTGTATCTTAAGGTAAGGGGCTATATAAAATGGGGTTTTAGGCATGAACGTTTACGCGATGCCGACGTGATCCTCACGCGGGGATCCTTCGCTTTAATCTATGCGGGAAGGGAGGGGGACACTACGCGTGTCCTTTCATTCGCCATTACCTAGTTCACGCACCCTCACAACATTGCCACCGCGTGGACACCCCCTTTCAGAAAAAGGAAGAAGAGCTGTCGCAGATCCACACGAATTTGTTCTCCTCCTTGATAGACGTCGACGAAGTCAACTTCCTCGAAGAAGGTGTGTCCAAATCCATCCTCAGACACAACATCAGAAGACTCACCACTTTGTTTAAAATTCCAACTGATGACATAAAATCGGTAGAGTTCTGTGTGTACCTAAAAGGCAGCGAACAGATGGAAACCCTAAATTTTACCGGACAGGGTATTTACAAATATTTGATTCTTATTTTTTTAACAAGCAATAAGGGAAACTTTCTGGAGTTCCCTCACTGTGGGCTAAAAATTATGACCATGATTGGAAACTGCGTGATACATGAATGCTCCGGTGCAGGGGCCGACTCCAACCAAAACAACACTGGCTTTAAATTCAATCTCTCAGAAGAGAAACTATTTTTCCTAAAAGTTAACCTCAAGGAAAATATAGATTTGCACCAAATGTTAGTAAGAGAAACGGGTGCTGCCGCAACAGGAGGTACGTCGTTTCCCAGATCTCCTACATTTGCAGAATTGTCCTGCGCAGGCTCCCCTAATGCTACGTATTCTTATAATTATTCCCCTCCCTATGCTAATGTTACTTCCAACCGTGTGAATCTCACTAGCGTCGGCTTTAATCAGGGGACAAATCCATTTTCGTGTGTTCAGCACAACGTGGACACCATTAACAAGGAGATAATGCAGATGAACATGAACGCTATGCGCAACATATGCTTAAAGACGAAGACTGCTAAGAATTGCGCCACAACCCCCTTTTTCGTGCCCGTTTCGCAGTTTTCCCTGCACCAAATGGGGGATAACGCCACCCAAAAGTGCTAACCAACATATGTTTTGCACGTGAAAAATAAGTTACCCATTAACCCGCACAGTTGATAAGGGTACACAATATTTTAAAAATTAAATGTGCTAACGGATATTGTTTACTTATCACAGGGCTTTTCAGTCACCTCACATATGTGTAAAGAAAAAAAAAAAAAGTTGTTCCACCAAAAGGATGATTACTTTTTCTCATACTATTTCAATGTGGCATGATTTAATCATTTTTTTTTTTTTTTTTTTTTTTACCTGACTTGTTAAGGTTTTTCGGGAAACTAGCATGCACCTGCAGAATGGCTAAGTGGGAAAAGTGCACACTTGTGGGAACACATGTCTCTACACATATATCTGCACACATGCGTACGCATTAGTACACACGCCCGCGAACACACACATATAACTGTACATGGGCTAGTGTACATTTGCCCATAGGGGTTGCCCCCATGGGAAAGGCCTTCACTCCACACAGCTGGGGGGAGGCCCCTAGCCATGGAGACGCAAATCTGATCACACTTCGCCGCGAGGGCTATATAAACATTTGGGGGTTTCCCCATTTAATATTTTCACGTGAAGATCATTCACGCAAAAAAAAAAAAAAAAAAAAACATATACGTAAAAATTGGTTTAAAACAATTTTAATTTGCAAACATTATTTTGGGGTGGACACAAAACATGGGAGTTTGGTCGAAAAAACGCGTTTAGTTTCGGCTCGATGGTCCATTTTGTACATCCATTTTGTACATCCATTTTGTAACCTTTTCGCGTTTTTCCACCCCTTTCCCCATTCTCCTCATCCGAGCCTGACCACTAAATATTCTGGTATAAATTGTGCGCATACTTGAGGGACGGCACGTTGGGGTGCTTTACCTCCGTGAAGGTGATGCATTTGGGCTTAACGGATCGCCCTTTGAACTTCAGAAAAGCGCCCTTGTTCTTCATAATATCGCAGTAGTTAGGGGCACTAAAAACGGTGTACAACATGCCGTTCTGCTCAATCGAGTAACCCTCATCCCTGACTTCGTGTGACCTAATTATGAGACTGAGGTTGTTTCTTTTAAGGAAGCTTTCGGTAATGTCTGTACCAAATGAAAATCCAATTCCCCTCTTGGATGGCTTAAATCCTTTTTCTTCATTTGGGTCTGACCACAACAAATCGGTCATGATGCCTTCATCCATGGGCTCGGTATTTCTGTCTATTTTTTCAATGTCCTCCAAAGTGGTATCAGTTTTACTAGGGATTCCACCATGGCAAATAAAAATGGTATCATTGAGTACATAAGCTAGGGGTAAAAATTTAAACGAATCAGAAAAAAGCACATGCATTTTTTCATCATATTTTTCTTGCAACTCTCCTAAAAATCCATACAACTTGTTCATATTATCCGTTTCGTGATTTCCTCTTGTCAAATGTACATTATTAGGGAAGGTCAGCTTAGCGAGAAATAAAAATATAATAACTTCAACAGAGAAACTTCCTCTATCAACAAAGTCCCCATTAAACAAGTAGGAATTTTTTTCCGATGGGTATCCATTTATTTTCATAATATTTAAGAGGTCATAAAATTGGCCATGGATATCTCCACATATGGTTAGCGTTTCATCTTCTTCTAAATTTAGACGCACTAGGGTTGGTAGTTCCTTAAGCAATTTTATAACATCCAAGACGATGGCACAAACACATTTCTTATTTAATTTTTGACCCGGGACACTTATGTACTCTACAACCTTTTGTAAAAAATCAATACTTAAATTGTTGCTGTCATAAATGGGGGCTTCCACATTTTCAATTTTCAGAGAGTCCAACACCACCGTTTCGTAGTAGGGCAATTTCTGCTCTAACTCAATGGCCTTCTGGAATTGTTGCTCAAATAATAATTTTTTACACTGCTTTAATTTTATTTCCGAATTTTTATCCTTAGTTAATTTTAACACCTTCTGAAAGCAGTCAGATGCGCTCTTCAAATCTGAAAGCATTAAAAAGGAGCAGCCTTTTCTGTAGTAGGCCTTTGCATATAAGGGATTAATTTTTATTGCTTCATCAATGTCTTCTATGGACGAGCCATAATTTTCTAACATCATATGGCAGAAGGATCTATTCGTATAGTATATATGTATATCTGTTTCTTTTACGCTAATAAATTCACTCTTTTTTGTGATAGCACTGTTTAAATAAAGTTCTTGTAACACCTTCACGTCCTCCTCATCTATGGTGATTTCACTTGGTAAGGCGTCCACGCTTATGCTATTTAGTAGGTCCATACAAACAGGGTCTTGAACCTCGTAGACCTTTTTTATCAAATCGATCGCACTTGTGTAGTACTTAAGAGATGCCAGGTAGTTATTCTCTTTGAAGTACTTGTTGCCCAGGTTTTTCAGGGCGTCACATGTTTTGAGCAGCTCGATGCTCACATTTTTTTTGGCTTCCTCGGGAGGGGTGTCCCCCGTTTGAGGCGTATCCGCATCAGGATGCCCTTCTTTGCATTTGCCCTGTTTGGATTCCCCCTCCTTGCATTCCTTCACACTAGCATCTGCTCTATTAGCCGCTTCGCTAGCAGCCTTTTCCGAATTGTCCCCTTTCTCCGGAGAGTCTTCCCCGGGCAAGTCCGATTCGTCATTCGCGTCCGGGTCCTTCTCCTTCGAGTCCGTGTCCTCGTGCGACCCCGCTCCTCCGTTAGAAACATTATCATCTGTGCTTACTTGCGATCCGCAGGGCTTCGCCCCACTGTCATTCGCGCCTTTTCCATGAGACTTGCTACCCTGGATTTTCTCTTCCGCGCTTCGACTCTCGTTGTATATGCCTTCCTCGTTTATCATCTTCTCTTCGTTAACTCTCTAATCCACACAGATTTTGCGTTCATTACAATTTAGCGTACAGCCTAATTTTACTATTATGTTTTTTTTTTTCCCTGAGCGAGGGGTATGTATATATATATCGTTTGTTTCTGCCCTCTGTACGCAGGTTCGCTTCTAAACAATTTTTGTAATCACTTAAAAGGATTCTTCTATTTTAACGCTGCTGCAGGTTTTTCTGTTATAAATGCCATTTGTTTTTATTTTATTTTATTTATTTTTTTTTTTTGTTCTTTTTTTTGTTTTTTTTTTTTAATTTCTTCTCCTCTTTGCCTCGCTACGCCTCTGCATTTTGCTACTCTTCCTGCTCTTCTTCTTAATCTTTTCCTTTTTTTTTTAGCCCCAAAAAAAAAATTATATAACGACCCCTAAATCTTTAAATCATTTAAAAATACAAAATGAACATGCGCCTCCCTTCCCTACCTTTTGTCTTTCACATAGGTTCACATGTTAAATTAAACAAATTCACATTTTTTTTTTTTTGTCCCCCCTACTTTGGTATATATATCTGCTCCTTGGTGAAAATATTCTACATGGTGTGTTTAGGCGGAAACCGGCAGAAGAAGACCACACGGATGGCACGCGCAGGGATAGAAGCGCACGGGGAGTGGAGGCTCCTACTTATACTTGTACAAGCGGAAAACGCGCAAAAGGCGCGGGTTCATTTACCTATTTAGTGTACATATGGCTGTACCATCGGCATGGAAAAAAAAAAAAAAAAAAAACAGGCGTATACGTAACGTAATATACATAAGGGTGTTTCCACCAAGGGTGTACATATGTTAGAGGTTAGTGAGCACACAGGGAGAAAAAAAAGCTCAAGTGCATTTCACTTTTGTTTTTATTTCTACCCGTGTAGTGAAAGCTTATGTGTTATATATGCGTGTAAATGTGCGTGTCCGTAATGAAGAAAATGCTGGAATGGTGGAACAAGTGAACTTGGCCGCGATAAACCCCCTTTTTAAGAAAAAAAAAAAAAAAAATTCAATTTTATAGCAAAGCTCAAGGGCAAAGTGGAACAAAAAAAGGAGCTAACAAAAAAGAAGCAAATGCATTGCCAAAACGTCCAACAAACGAGTTGCTATTTTTTAAAGCACGTTACGAAATTTTCCACGCAAAGGTGAAAATAAGAAAATGGGGATGAGAGGGGGCCATGGTGCGCGTTTGTGTAAAAAGGCACAAAGAAAAGGTGTACTACTATACACAGCTCCAATCTTTGTGTGGACAAACTGGCAAACGACAATGTATAGTCAACATTTATGTTCTGCGGTGTGGGTGTTACTTTTCTTCCACAGCAAGGGGTGTAGTCACATATTCGTCCCTTCCCGTAGAATTTTATGTGTACGTATGGAAAAGGACCTTCACGAGGAAATAAAGGTCTACGTGCTTTTGTCCGCCAGGTTGCCCTCTATGCGCGCGCATGTGTGCCGGTGCGTCTTAATCCGTACATGTTTATATGCTCATGTGCACATTTTTGCGTCGCACTGCGCGCCAATGATTACCTTTTATACGGGGGACAACTTACTATGCATGTGGGTGTAGCCCAAAGGAGTAACCCATTATTTTTTTTTCTTCTTTTTAACGCATGGGATGGGTTACTTGCCGTGCCAAGTAGGCACTTTTGATGAATGTACGGTACCGTGGATCAGCATGCAACAGCGCGCATTAGTTAAGAGGCACATTGGGAGACACAACCGAATGAACAAACCCTCCCCAGGAACGTAATTGCACATTTGTGCTTCACCCTGTCCGTCTGTTCCACTCTGCGTATGCTCTTTAACCATTGGGGGAAAACGAAACAATTTAAAAATTAAAAAGAGTATATTTGTTTACCACGCAGGACAGGCGCACAAAAAAGAAAAAATGAAAAAATTCGTGCCCATAATATGTAAGAAGCGAAAGGTTAGCATCCAAATGAGGTGCAGCACTTTTGTGGCGCTTGCCATTCAATAAAATAGAACGTTTCTACTTCTTATGGGCATTCCACAAAAGGTACCCTTCTTCTTATCTCATCCTATCTGTGCCATTTTTCAATATGTGAAAAAAAGTATTTTTCCCCTCCTATGAGATATCATTTTGTTTTAAAATATTTTCGTACATTGGTAGCCAATTCAGAGTTTGATCAATGGGTGAATGTTCGATATTATTAGCTGTTTTTTTTTTTTTTTTTTTTAATTTTTTTTTTTTTTATTTCCTCAGTCTGTCGCTGTTCAAAAAAAAAGCATAAAAGGAGAAACGATGATTAAGGTTGCTTTAGCGCAAGTGCGGAAATGCGCCAAGAAGGAATCTCATAAATGAACTTTAGAAGGCACCATGAATAAGAGTCGTTTAAGCCACCTTAGCACAGTTGGTAATGCGTTTGATTCGTAATCAAAAGATCGTGGGTTCGACTCCCACAGGTGGCTAGCCAGCCTTTTTTAATTTTTTCAGAAGCGACACGTAGAAAAAAAAAGTTATATACGCCATAATATACCCTATACGTCTTGTTATCGTAGTGAAACGTGCACTTATAGGAAGCATACTTTATATATATATATATTTTACATATGGCACATATTGCCCCACTTAATCGCGAAAGAAGAAGTGCAAAAAAATGGAGAATAAATTTTGAAATGAATATCCCTATTTGCGCCACATTCTACCCTATCTGCAGGAAACCCCCCTTTTAGGGTGACCCCAATTGAATGCTTGCCTCTCTGCAAACTTCAGACGTGTAGAGGGTTGGGGTATGTTTTTGTACATGGAATGTACCCTTAGGAGGTGCACCAGCATTCACACCATCGTAGCCTGCGGAGAGTATCTCCTTTTCCACTCACAAAATTAGCCAATCCTTTCAAATTTCCGTAAGGACAGGGTGCAGTGGAAAGAGGTTTTTTATACCCCTGTATTTGTATGCGCAAAGTTGGGAGCGCCCTCTTTTTATTTCCCCCCCCCCTTATAAGGTACTCATTAGGATGATATGATAATTCTGTTTTTTGGTGGCACTTCGTATATGGAACAGGTGAGCCTGGTTAGCATGAGGCTTGAACGAGGCGTCATCACCGTAAAGCAGCAGAAAAGCAACACCCGCATATCATGTCCTGACCCCTGTCCTTCTCTATCTCTATCCATCTCTCACTCTCCCCCATGCACGCGCGATAAAACGTAAACCAAGCAGAGACAGAAGATTCGCGAATTTTTAAAAGAAACAAAAATATGATAAAGGTATCAATCACACAAATGTTCGATTAACTTCTGTTTGTTTAAAAAAAAATGCCCCACTTGGGGCATATATATGTGTGTATATATATATAATATAATATATGTGTGGGTGGGGAGGGTGAATCCCCCCCGTGGAGAACAGCCAAGCACAAAAAAAAAAAAAATAAATAAAAGGTACAAAAAGTTGAGCAGGTGGGATGATAAAAACGGTGAATGGTTAAGCGGAGAACTCACCATATATGCATCTCCAACCCACCCCCGTGAGAAAAGTGTGTATTTATTTTTATATACAAATCCCTTCCATAGTGCAACAAAAAAAAAAAAAAAAAAAAAAACACACATAACGGATGGGCAGACAACATACACACATTTTTTCACGCAAAAGGAGACAAACTCGTCACAATACGGATAAATATATCTATAACTGCTTTCGCAAAAAAAAAAAAAAAAACATTTCAGTACTTATTTGTGTAGAGGAATTTTTCCAGATCTTTATAAATGGGAGAGTCCGGCCCATAAGTTTTTAATATATTTTTTTTGGCTTTGTGAATTAAATTAAGACCCTCCGATTTGAGATCAAGGAAAAGGGCAAGTTTGCCAGTTAGAAAAATATAGTAGCCATAAATAGGGGAGTACTTTCCGTAGGACACCTCTATAGATTTGAGGTACTGGTTAGCAATATTATATGCTAATTTAAATTCTTGTAGCTGTATTGAAATGTACAGAATCTTGGCTCTCATCTTTTGCAAAGAATATCTCGTATGGTGATAAAAAGTGGTTAGGTAATCAATTTTGGACTTTATTTTATTAAGTGATTGTAAAACAGATTTATTGTCATAGGTATACTTTTCACTGAATAGAGACTCCAAATGAGCTGTTTCCTTAATAGTTTCCTTTTCCTTTTCCATTAAACTTTTTATAACATTATCATGCACTTCGTTTTTACAAATGGCACATTTCCACACATATGGATGTTCGTTCGTTTTTCTTAAAACAGGATAAGAATTTTTAAATTGACTTTTATTCATATAACAACTTTTTCTTTCCAATTCTGATATTAAAATAAGCTCCATATGATTAACACATTTTTTGCAACTGTCCGACTGAGTACAGACAAATTCTGTATTAAAAATATTTTGGCATTCCGACACGATATTCACTTTACATAACTTACAAGAGCATGTAAAGAAATATTGATCCATGCAAATTGCTGACCTCGTATTTTTATCGAATGCTATGTCGATGTAACTAATGGTTAGCTCTTCTCCGGGATACACATCCATCAGGGTACGTATGAATAATTTCTGGTTTTTAAATATAGTGACACAATTACTCAAACATGAGTGATTAAAATAGGGAACGGGTTTTTTATAAAATGCTAATCCTACTGGTTCTAATTCATTATCAATTATTTGTAAACTGTTTTTAGAAATCTTTACAAATTTTTCTATTATATTTTTAAGTATACTTTCATTATCTTCAAAATTAGCAAATAATTTTTTTTTTTTGCTCATTAAAGCTACTGCTACTATATAAGCTGGGTATTTAAAATATTCATATTTTTCCTTTGGCAATTCTGCTATGCTTCCACAGTATTCATAAAAGTTAAAGTGGCTTAGGTAGCTGTTAATTACCATTCGCATGATAATGGATGGACAAAATTTGTCAAATATATTCGACTTAAATACTTCACATTCATCTCGGTGTAATTTCCACGCTAGTTCTAAACACACATCACTACAATACACTACATATTTGCAGTTAGGACAATAAACACTTTTGTTAAATTTTTCAAAACAGTAAAAACATATGTTCACTGTTTTGTAATCTGTTTTTTTATTTTCTGCATCTATGATTCTGGGGGCCATGTACTTTACACTAAGCGGGACGAATATCTCTGGGTGTGCCTCCACGATGCAGTATCCTGCTCTCATTTGACTGACTGCGACTACGCACTTCCCTTTATCCTGTTTGTAGTCGACTTTGTACATATGACTGGGCGACGCGGGCATGGTGGGACGGTGCTCTTTTCTATATATGTACTTCTCCCTGTAATGGTCTATACCGCCGCCTGCGTGGTTGCCTGCTGCGTATTGCCTGTGTGCCCGGGGGGGGGGGGGAACAACAGTCGTGCCGCCTACACCTTGTATATTTGCCTACCCCCGACACCCTGTGGCACTGAACACAAACACGGGACGTGTTCCACTGGGCCTACCTCCGCAGTTGCTCACGGGGATTGGTGGTGGGGGGGAAGCTAACCATCAACTCGAACTCTGCATCGTACTAGTTTCGTTCCTGAGTAGCCACTCGAGCCAGCGTCACGTGTAAAAACACTTGTGTTGAGACAGCCTCTCTGTGGTGTTGGAAAAAAGAAAATGAAAGAAGAAAAGAGAAAACTACTCCTTTTTCTTTCGTAATTTTATTATATGCTTTAACTAATTTGAATATGACTGATCACAAAAAAAAAAAAAGGGGGTCACTAAAAAAAAAAAAAAAAAAAAAAGGCGCCAGATAGATACATATAAAAGATTGAAATGATTAAAATATTTTTTTTTACATAAGTTTACAGGCATATGAGAATTATATGATATATTCCACCAGGGACAGGAATTGCGCAAACTCAGAATTTGGCACTACGACGGCTTGGCAAGTCATATATGTTACGCAACTGTATGTGCTTATGCATAAATGGGCATACTGCTCTAAACAGAAAAAAAAAATCCGGTATCCCCTCGTCGATAACGCGCGATGTTTTTGAAGCCTCAAAAAATGTAAAAAAAAAATAAACCAATTTGTGGGCACAGCAAAAAGGAGGGGGAACCCCGTTACATACCCCGCTTCTGCATCACAAGCAGTTTTTTTTTTTTTTTTTTTTACCAAAAAGCGACTCTAAATAATACAATTTTTCATTCCAGATTGCCTACATTTTTACGCAGTGACGTTCGAACGTTGAGTCCTCACCAGTCTTCGTGCAACACTTGTCACTTTTTTTAAAGCGCGAATGCACCATCAATGTGAATACCCTGTTTTGTTCTACTCACAGTGTAGCGGTGGATCTATGGTGGTGGAAATGCAGAGTGACGCTTTTGTTAAGGGGTTACGGGGGGTTATCACTTGGGTCCATGTCCCATTCCGCACACAAACACGCCGACAGTAGCGAACGCCGCTTCGGAGTGAGCTCGTCCATTTATGTGGCTAACTCATGTACCTACTTATGCCACCCCGCATACCCCTGTTGGAAAGGCTTCTGCCCACCAGCGACTGACACCTAAGGGACATGCTACACCTATGGTAAAACTTAACACCCACCACCCTTCATGCGTTGCGTTTTTGCCCATATTGTTACAGGGGTACATTAGCACACCCCATAAAATAGGTACACGCACAAATGGGGGTTACTTCTTCTCCACCCAGATGTACCAACTACAAAAAAGGGGACACCCCCCCACACACACAACTGAGGGAAATGTAGCTTACGGGGAATAAAATAAGCCGCCAATATTTTTCCATTTCATGTGAACTGAGGAGATAAGAAAAATTGAGTGAAATTTGCCAAAAGGTGGAAGGGAGTAACATACGCGTCTACGTCATTTATGTACGGGCATGTTTTTTTTTTTTTTTTTTTTTTTTTATGGCATCTCGGGCAAGGGGTAGCAACTTTGCTACTGCAGTACGAGGTTGATACACCCACCATGAACAAATGGGCATGAGGACAAAAGGGATGAAGTTGCTCCTTTCCGCACCGCTTGGAAGGAACGCGGGGGGGATACTCAACTGGTCCACTTTCTTCAAAACGGTGAGAAGAAGAGGGAAGTTTTCCTACACAACAACATGCACCCCCTCAAGGGGAAAGCACGCTGAGGAAAACATCCCTATGGAGGAATTGAAGAAATATTTATGTGTTGAAAAAATACATTCTGAAGATTTCCAAAAAATTATGAACAAGTGTGTGCAAGTGAATAAAGACAGTGATACACGTATTGAAGATTTATTGCTCATTTTAATTTTGTTCACAAAATTTTTTCCCCATTTTAAACAAACATACGGAGATTCACTCCACAATGAAATTTGTCTTAATATATTTAACAGCATAAAATTGAAAGCACATTATTTATACACAAGCAAAATGCTCATACACACAATGAACATACTGACCAATTTACAACTTATTGACAATACACTTGTTCTTGCATTCATAAATAAATGTTCTTATTTTATACAAAATGAGGAATATGAAATTGAAGACTTGGTTCATTTTCTGTCCATTTTTAGTAAAATTTATTTGTTAAAAAATGACCCTAAATTTATGAAATTAAAAAGCTTTAATTGGATGCTAATTAAAAATATATGCAATAAATTGGCATACAATTTTGACCGTTTTTTCTTAACCTACAAGGATTATACATACACACACAAATTGAAGAAAAAAATTCATGAGCAAATTAGGAGTATCCACTCGGAGGGGAAAAACTCCAGACCGTCTTCACATTGCAGTAACAACGTTTTAAATACGCTCAACACTGTTGTTGATCCATGTGCCAAACGCGTCAAAGGTGAAAAGTCTGAGCTTCATGTGGGTGACGATGTGGCAGGGGGCCTCTCTTCTTTTGCCTCCTTCGTAGGGTTGGCCGAAAATTCTTCTACCCATGAACATTTGGTTAGTGCCCCTTCTGCGAATGTCCACCATACTGCCCGTTGTAAAACGGTGGGCTCGCCGCCCAATCGAGCTACCCCAAATGAATTACCCACTGAGCTGTCACAACTAAATGCGTCACAGGAAAGGCACTATCTGCTCGACACGCTTCTCAGCATCAGCAGGAGTCTTAGGGATTTGAGGTTTGCGCACATGGGGCTGCTAAACGAGGTGGCCAACAGGTTGCAGAGTCACTTTTTGGACGAGCCAAACGAATTGGGGGTAGAAACGCGTCGTGATGTTGATCATGGCACACATGACGAGTGTGAGGAGCGTGGCGACACATCCCCCGTCAGAAAAATTTTCTACATCATGCAATGCCACCTCTACCTCCAAGTGGACCATCATATGCTCTACAAAAGCATCCTGAACACTTATAAAAAACACCTGCCAAATGTGGGCAATTTGGTAGTTTTGTTCTTCTTGCTGGCAAAAAATAAATTATTCCCCTCCAAGACAATCCACCTATTTGATGCATCCTTTAGGGAAAAAATAACCCAAGGAGTATACGATGCAAGAGATCTGTCAACACTTTTGCACTCGTATGCAATGCACAAATATAGGGAGAGGTTCCTAATTCGGTTGATTCTTTCTCGTTTAGTACCACGTTGTGTCAGCCTTCCTCAGGGTGATCACGCACATGATGAAGATCGAGACAGGTCCTCTTCCCCTAATCTAACGGAGGATCCCCTTCCCAGTGGGGCAAGTAATGAGAAAATTCCAAGTGACAAATTCAGGCAGGGTATAAACTGCGGGGACATCCCAAACTGCACTTCTGAAGATGCACAAAAAAGTAACCTTATTGTGGACCTGCCCGGAAAGGTAAAAATACTCTACAGCCTGTTCAAGTTGGACATATATGAAGAAGCGCTCATTTGTGAAGTATCAAATATGATAAGCGAGGAAAACATAAATAATATGGACTACAAGGAGCTAGCCAAATTGCTGCTAGCCATGTGCTACTTCTCCGTCGAGAATACACATGCATACAATTTAATAATAAAAAATTTAATAAAATTCGATATCATTTTAGATAATGTATATGTGACCCAATTGAAGATATGTGAGCTGGCACTTCGAACAAGACACGTCCCAAATGTTTATAATCAGCTGAACGAGGAGTGCATAGAATATATGAATTTCATAAAAAGTAAAGAAAAAAATGCAGAGTATCATATTAAATCAGATTTGCAAAAAGAAATTAAAAACTTCCTTTTGTCTTTCAATTTGTGCATGTCGGAGGAGGTACCCCTTGGTCCATATGATGTCGACTTTGTGGAAGAAGATGAAACCTTTTTTCGCATGCCTAGAAATTACCGTCTTCGCAGGGATAGTCAAGCGTCCATTGTGTCGGGGGATGTAACCCAGCATGGTACCAAGTGTAGTGAGCGTGCATCCCCACAAGAGGAGTCGTCTACCACGATGAGTCAGGTTCCAGAATGTGATTCACCAAATGGAAACCCTCACAAAAGAAGAACTAAATTAATCATTGAGGTTAATGGGGAACACCATTTTTACAAAAACAGCAAGTCCTACACCGCGCTGTCCAAACTGAAGCACAAGTTGTTAAGCGACCTTGGTTACACGGTCATCAACATACCCTACTTCGAGTGGGGACAGCTAACAACCAGCTTAGATAAAAAGGCCTATATTAAAAAATTAATTTCTAATAGCCTTACCTTTGAGGTAGTGAATGTGTTACCACTTAACCAAAAATGTGAACCGCTGGGGAAAAAAGAAATGGAAAAGGTCGTCTCAACCATTCGCCACAGCAAACGAAGGACTGACTTCTTAACCAGCATTGCCAACTTGAGGGAAAAAAATAAGGTGGCCTTTTTAAAGAGGAAAGTTAAAAATGTGTAGCTGGGTGTTGTCTTCACTCATTGAATGGGAAGCGAGGGGTGAATATGAGATGTTCTTCATAGAGCCATCTTGAAGTTGTTCCTATGGAGGGTGCCCTGGATACGTCGCATTCGTTTTGGGTTATTTGCCCATTTTTTTTGTTTTTGTACTTTTTCGTACTTTTTATCCTCATTTTTTTTTGTACTTTTTTTTGTTTTTCCACACAGCAACTTGGTCATAAATGCAAGAATTAAAAGGGCCAGGTGATCTACTCAGCAGATAGAGCAGCTTCACCCTTTTTCCGTTCGCAAATCAGCGCGCTTTATTCAACTCCATGCTTGTTGTATGCTCCCCACAGGAATTCTCCTCCCAGGGGGGTTGCAAAGAAGGCCTCTGAAACTGAGACCCCGCTAGTTTTTTTTCCCTTTCGTGTATGGATATAAAAAAAAAAAAAATAAATGTCTTGCTAACACGCACACATATATATGTATATGCGTATTGCCGTGCGGAGCCTGCGGTGGGCGGCTCAAAAATTGTCAATGTCCTCCTGGAAGTCCACATCATCCTCGGGAATATTCTCATCCGTCTGGTAATTCTTGAACGTATTGTATCCATAAGTGTTTTTGTTGGACACGGTTCCCTCGAGGATGGGGCCGGCATAGTTGGGGTGGATTCGCAAAATGACATTTTCCGCGTCCTCTTCATTGGTCTCCGATAGCAACTTCATATCTTGGTTAATCAATCGCTGGATAATTTTTTTCAATTTGTAAACCCACTCATCTACCTGTTCATTCGATTCAGCCTTGGCATACACTTGCAGGTAAGTTTCAATGAGCTGATCCTGCGTAATGCTTTCACTGTTATTGTTAAATTCATATTCTTTAATAATTTCAAAAATGATAGCAGAAATGTATTGATATTCGCTAGCTTTAATGGTCATACATTTCTTACCCTCCACAGTTTTATTTTCGCTACCTTCGGGTTGCATAATTTTGCTCGTCTTGCTATTCAAAAGAGAGTTACTAACTTTATCGAATTCTTCATCGAGATTTATTTCCTTTTCATTGGATATTTTTTTCATGGAAGCTTTAAATATGGAGCAAGCAATTTCTACATGTTTTATGTCCACAAAATGGGAGAACTTTAATTTCGCTACAGCTTCACTCAATCGGATGAGTGACTCTAACTGACGCACAGTCATCCTCATGGACCTCTGGGCACCTGGTGAATACTCAATGTTACGGAAGGAGACATAGTAGTGTATCAGTTTGTACTTGGCTTCATCTGTTAGTAATGGCTTGACCCTTTTGCTTAGTTCCAAATACACTTCCATTTTCACAGGGTCCAATTTTCCTGCGTTGGCTTTTATATGTTTTTCCGCTTCCTCTCCACAGTGCATAGAAACCAAGTGGTTGGCAATGCTCGTGTCTTTTTCTATATCGATGCTGTCTAGCATTGTGTAGAAGAGATCAAATCTGGAGAGCAACGGGGCGGGGATATTTACGTTCTGTGCAAACGTTTTCAACGTGTCATATCTTCCATACTTAGGGTTACATGCTGCTAACACTGATGCTCTGGCATTTAGGGTTGCTTGAATACCTGCCTTAGTGATGGAAATGGTTTGCTGTTCCATAGCTTCATGAATGGCTACTCTGTCCTTTTCGTCCATCTTATCAAATTCGTCGATGCAACAGATTCCCTGATCTGCATACATTAATGCACCTGCTTCTAGCACCGTGTCGCCCTGATCAGGATCCCTATGTACTGCTGCTGTTAACCCTGCAGCAGTGGATCCTTTTCCAGAGGTGAAAATAGCTCTTGGGGCAAAACTTTCCACATATTTTAATATTTCACTTTTGGCTGTTCCTGGGTCCCCAACAATACACATATTTATATCTCCTCTCAATTTACAATTGGAAGTAATTTTCTGTACCCCTCCTGTCATCATCAACAATGCCCCTTTTTTTATTTCGATGTTTCCCCATATTTTTGGAGCTATACATTCGGCCAATATGTCTATGGTGTTAGGATGCATGGCAATATCTCTGAGCCATTTCAAATCATCACAATTTAAAATTTCTTCACAATTAATATCTACTTGTGTTTGTTCATCGAAGGAATTTTCCTTCTTGGAATTATTTAGCTTTTCAATTTGACATGCATATATACATAGCTTATGATTTAAGTCCTGTACTCCTACCCCCTTTATCCCTGTTAACCCCTGTGAAACTAATGAATTTTCATTTTTTTTTAAAATTTGTCTAGCTACACTACGAGGAATATCTCCTGGCTTCATCAATGTTGGGATATCTGGAACAACAATTAAACATCCTGTTACGATAATTCTATCTCCTGCATGTACCGAGTCGACAATGTCATTACGAAGAATCACATCCATATTGCGAGGCATAGATCCTGGTGGGCTTTCTTGTGCAATTTCTTGTAATCGAATTTTTTGCCAATCGACAAAGTAAGACTGTTCCAGGACAAGAGACCAATCATACATATTGCTGCAGCTGGATGAGGGACATTTACTCGGTTGTGTATACCTAAATTGCTGTTTAACTCCATTAATAATATTTCCACATTCATTACATTTGAACGCAGCTAATGTTAACTCGGGTCGTACATCGGATGTCCGGGTTACTTGTCCTCGCACACTAATCATTTCACCAAGCATTTCACATCTTAGGCTTCTCAACGAATGGATAGGATTTTTTTTATTATAAAAACGAAGGCATATTTTTCCCACTTCTTTTGTCTTTATGGGGTTAATACTTTCTGCTAAGGCTTGTACCTTCTGTTCAAAAATGTCTAGTATTCTGAGGAAGTGTCTTTTTATATATATGTACAATTGACTACCTATGTCGAATCGGTTTTTATCTGTTGGTTCCCACATCAACACATGTTTCATATCCACGACCAGGACTTTATTTCTGGAATAGGAGTTTTGCAAAATTGAAAACAGCAACAATACGTAATGCGCATCCTGGGCAATTTCCAACGAACTAGGGAAATTCAAATTTAAATTGTCTTTCCACACACTGTCATTATCTCCATCTTCATTATCTTCATTTTCTTCATAATTTTTTTTTTCAGAAAATGTTTTTAAAAATTTTTCAAATACCTTTGCCATATTCTCATCTTGAACATAAGATGGTTCATCATCTTCCTCCTCTTCCTCTTCCTCCTCCTCTTCGTCCTCCCCTTCATCATCGTGATCGGCTTCTTCTCCATCATGCATTACGTCATTTTCGCCTAAGTTTGAATTTTCCCCAAATTTCCTTTTCTTCTTTTGGTAGCTCGACATTTCGCTGTTCCCGAACACGCTATGGGCATCCAGCCCGGACAGTTCGCTTTCGTTGAACATGCCTGACATGGCGCTTCTGTTCCTTCGGTGAGTAGGGGGTTAACTTGTGTGTAAAAATGTTTTCGGCTTGGTTTCACCCTCACGTGTGTTTGTCCTGAGTGCGCTCATGCAAGTTCCCGTACCAAAAGGGCCAGCAACACTGCCACGCATACACACTTGCGCACGTACGATATGCGGTCAGTTATCACAATGACTTCCTCCCCTCGGGTGTAATTTTATTTAATCTTCACCGTATCGTGTGAATTACACTTTGGTTGCCCTGCGGAAATGCAATTTTTGTTTGGCCTATTTTATTTAACATAAGTGTGAACCCTTTTTGCTCCACGCTTACTCCTTTAGAGCCAATTTGTGCACGTAACAATTTTTATTTTCTCACAATTGGGTTTTGCTCTTGGCAGTTTTGACATCCTTCGGAATATGCATATGTATATGTACATATGTGTATTATTGTTTTTTTTTTTTTTTTTTTCCCTCCTCAAAGAGGATGCATACTTGCCAGTTTCACTCTCCCCCGGGTGCGTATTTTTCCATGCGCACATCGAGGATCCAATTTGCGACGAAGTGCAATTATATACACGTATACGTACACATGTGCACATGCGTTTGTTCAACTTAAGTTCCTTCTTCGACACTATGCCATGTGAACATGCCAGTGCGCTTTAAGCGAATACTGGGCCATTACACTTTTTTTTTTTTTTTTTTTTTTTTTGCGCATTAAACAGGCAGGTGAAGTGAGCAGGATTTTTTTTTTTTTTTCAATTTTAGGTAGCCACGCGGGAAAAAAAAAAAAAAAAA